TTTAAAACCAATACTAAATTTCGTCATTTAACTTCCAAATAAATTGGTCGGGCTTGTTGTATCGACTGCCAGTTACGATACCCGTGATTCGATTCCAAGAGCACTGTTTAGTTTCAACGTTATATTTTTAACAGCTTCACTAGAAATTGCCTAAGGTGGGTGGGTAGATATTATTAATAAAGCGTACGTTTGGTATCGATTGATTAACAAACCACGAAATCGCTCTGCAGTTTGCATACGATCGTGTCTTCTGTGATTACGCATTGTTCCACGTTTCGTTCCTATTTGTCTATTCAGTTTTTATTACTTTCAAGGTTTTAGTGACTTTCAAAGTTTTCTTTCTTGTTTTAGGGTCGTATTCCAGAACTCTACTCAATGCTCAAGTCAGGATTTGAGCAGACTTGAGTATGATTTCAAGCACTGGAAATACGACCCTAATGGCAAGGGCTTGAGTACGATTTTCAGTGGTCACTGCAATACTCAAGTCCTGACTTGAGTATTGAGTACAGTTCTGGAATACGACCCTTAATATGCTGCACTTAACGGATATTAAAATTAGAAATTATTGTTCTGTATGAACAAGACTTAGACATTCCTTACACCTATCTAGACGTTAAAAACAAAACTAATACAATAATATATATTCATAGCTAAATATTTTATTTTTAATGTGACTCGAATCATGCTTGCCTCAATTTGCTAAGCAATCCTTACACCCCTTGGCCACGACGGCCTTACTAAATCTGGTTGAAATTTATGTTCTGTATTTAAATAAGAACCATATGTTAAAGACCAAATTGGCTTAAAAACTTTCTTAAAATGTCATTCACTAATGAGACGACCAGGGAGTCATACCAAAATAAATTTTACGGCTCTATCTAGTTTAGATTAAGATTTTGTTTAACAATTTTCTCCACATTTTTGTGCTCAGAACCAAAAGGTTGACAAAGTCGGCTTGGGCGAGGGTCAGGTATATTGTGTATATGACTGTACATTTAATACTATATTAATATTAAAGAGCAACCCTTACAGTTTCTTGATCATTCTTCTCAGGGGAATTTGCCTTACAAAGAGAGCAAAGTGACGATTTCAAGGGTAATTTTCTTTTTACCTATGAAATAAAGATAGTTTTGACTTTTTTATTTTGATATTTTTTATTCTAGTTCAGTGTACTTAATAGAAACGACGTCACGATAGGAGCATACGGACATATTAGTCCTCGTGCTTCTACCTAGGAGCACCCCGTAGGAGCATGAGGAAACGGTAGCAAAGATTACTTCTTGTCTTTTAAGATTATGCTTAGTTGTTAAGCATTTGTTGCAAATATTACTCTTGTATGGTGTCACTCCACTATGACACATTTTATGCGCTAGAAGAGATTTTTTTTTAAAGTTTGTTACAAATATCACATTTGAATGGTGTCCTTTCAGCATGAGTCGCTGCATGCCTTTTAAGATTCTGCTTACTTGTTAAGCATTTGTTGCAAATATCACACTTATATGGTGTCACTCCACTATGAGACATTTCATGCGCTAGAAAAGATTCTTTTTTTTTTAAAAGTTTGTTACAAATATCACACTTATATGATGTCGCTCCACTATGAGACTTTGTATGCACTTGAAAAGATTCTTTTGTTTTTAAAAGTTTGTTGCAAATATCACATTTGAATGGAGTTCTTTCAGTATGAGACATTACATGCCTTTTAAGATTCCGTTTACTTCTATAGCGTTTGTGGCAAATATCACACTTATATGGTGTCGCTCCACTGTGAAACATTTCATGCAATTTAAGATTCCGTTTGGTTGTGAAACATTTGTTGCATATATCACATTTGAACAGAATCTCTCCGGTATCAATCCTCAAATGTTTTCTAGTATGGTCTTTGAGATATTGTTTTATTTTGAAACGCTTGTTGCATATGTCACACTTGTATGGTGATTCTCCAGTATGATTCATTGCATGCAACTTATAACTTTTATTTGTTTTAAAACATTTGTAACAAATATCACATTTATACCGTGTCTGTCCAGTATGAGTCATTTCATGAACCATTAAACCATATTTTGTTGTTAGACATTTGCTGCAAAAATTACACTTAAAGAGTTTTTTTCTGGAATGAGTATCATTTTTCACCTTAGCATTCGTGCTCTGCACACAGTTCACTTCAGCTTTATCAGAGCACTGTAACACCACAGGTCCTATGACAATCTCATCCTTGATTACATGACCTGCATAAAGCTGGTTTGTGACGTTTTCTTCTTCTAGATCACCAACAGAGTCTTTTTCGACATGTTTGTTTGGAGCCAAGGTATTCTTTTCTGACTGCATTACTTCTTCTTTCATGTTGTCAATAGTTGTATAAAATTGTTGCTCTGAATATGCCTTTGTTGCATACAGCTCTTTCGTGATGAATTCATCTTCCTGATCGTCAACAGGCTCTTGTTTAACATTTTTGTTTGAATACAAAGGATTTTCTTTTAACTCAGCCTTCTCCTCTTTTATTCTTTCAAGTCTTATATAAGGCTGTTGCTCTGTATGTGACATTGTTGCAGACTAAATATATTATTGCTATATTAGTTATATATCATTTTTAAAGAGACAAAAGTAATGATGCGTTGTTTCCTTGGAACCTGAAAGAACACCAAGTTAAATATTATGCATTGTAACTAAATGGCACCAACGTGCCAATGGTTAGTCAATCAAGACACAACAGTTCAGACTGAAATTATTAGACTGCCTTTATTAATATGATATGAGTTATTGAACATGTTGGTATCATTAGTCCTGTTATTATTAGGGTGGCTTCATTCAGGGCCCATGCATCCCCTCATCAATGCGACCACTGACTGATCTATTGTGATCACCACCAAATTACAGAGCAGAGCCAAGACTGACAGCATTGACGAACTGAAGGATTTTCCGGGGCTCTGAGAGATTTCATGTCCTTTGGTTGTGGCATGTGCCTTCCTAGTACGTACTTCGTACGTCCATTAGTCCCATGTAATAATATTCTTCTTTTCGTTACTTTGGAGGTGAATAAATGTGAGCCTTTTGTACAATTAATATGGAATCGACACAGTCGCCAGTTGCATTGAATATTTGTTTCTACTAGTCGGTTCCTTGTATCCAACATAAGACTTACATGACATAATTATTTATAAAGGAGAAACTGATTTCAGACTTACCATTTCCAAACGTACATTTTATACATTAATCCAGCTAGGATAACATTTTTGCAAGGCCTCTTTGCATGTTTTTAACAACATCTGAAAATTATGCAAATTGTATAAGTTCATATTATACCTACACCAGTGGTGAAAGTTGGATATTTAAAGGATGTAAGCTGTTGTAGAAGGTATTATATATGCTGCAAGGCATATTTTCCATACCTAATCCCATCCAATACCTAATACTATGTTGCAGAAATTTTTTTTAAGGCAGCCTAATGGGAATAATGTTATTGGGGGTCAACTCGTTTTCCCACAATGGTAAGGTCACCTATTAAGTAACAAAATTTTGGATGTTACTTAATAGATTTTAATCTGTCCAATCTAAGTGTCTGTCGAATAGAGACTGCGCCGAATCACGAATCTGTCAAATCCAGAATTTGTCCTGTACTGAACAAGGGATTCGTTTGTTACCTTCCAAATTCAAAACACGTTTTTAATTTTAAATAACTTATTTCAAAAAAAGGAGGTCCTCAATTTGACTGTATTATTTTTGTTTGATGTTATATTATGATTACTGCAACATTAGTAAAGTAATTTCAATGATTTTTTGTTGGAATCCGCATATAAACCTCAGTAGTGGTCTCATGGTCGTTAAAATTTGAAGAAAACATTCCACCTCGAAGGGTGGCAAATTAGGGAATGAATCAGGTTTATTGGATTTCACCCACTTTCTGTTAACCGATTTGAATAAAACAGCAAAATAATTCCACAAACATTTGAGGTCAATTTTTTTTAAAGTTATAATTCATTATAAGTTGGCGGTAATGGCTCGATTTGTATGTTATGAAAAATGTCATTTGAAAAATATTACTTTCATGTACAATTGTGTGTGGATACTTGTTATCACTTCACCACCGATACGTTATTGTGAGTGAGGAACAAAACTCACAAATTTGGTTCGGAGAGTGTAGAGGAAATATTTTGAGGATGACAATGTACAAGAGAATTTTTAAATGCATGACATAATTGTTTTTTATTGAATTTTACTGAGTCATGGCATATTTCTTTGCAGAACGACTAATAATCATAAATAAAAGTGTTTTTCAATAGGGACACCACAACTTCGGATTTCAATAAAACACAGAATAATCAAGCTGAAATTTATTCCAGATTCTGTAAACATGTTACATTTATGAATGGAATTCAATCTCATTCATATGATCACCGCGAGTGTGTTTGCAGCATTCAGTTTTTTCCACAATTTTCCACCACTCTTCCTCACATATCAGCGGAGACTTTGTCAATTTCACGTTTGATATTGTTCCTGAGCTCACTTAACATTTGAGGTTTGCTGGCATAAACCACCAATTTAACATAATCCTATAAAAAAGAATCCAAAGGCGTTCGATCGCATAAGGGAGGTGGACATCCAACCAAACCATTTTGTGAGATTACACAATTATCGAACGTCCTCATCAATTGTTTCACCAGATGTGACTGCAGCAAACGTACTTGCAATGGTCATGTGAACAAAATCAATGCATTGCACCTGGAGTAAATTTCAGAATTGAATATCCCAATTATTTTATTGGAATACAAAATTGTTATGTCCTTATTGGAAAACGCTATACTAGTTCTTAACACCATCTTCTCGTGGTTTCAGGGTAAGGAACTATTGATAAATGTGGAAAAACAATCCGATTAACTAGGACGCGGAAGTTAGAGAAACTAGACAAACCGACCATTAGTGGCAAGGTTACACTGCAAAAGTTTCCTAGTGTAACATTATAGTGCTAACCAAGTTAAAATGGTCCGAAATATTTAAAGTCGTATGGCGAGACAGATTTGGGGTTAAAACTTAATTACTCTGCTGTTTGGAATCAACGCTAACTAAACAACCACTAAGGCACATTGTGCAATTGATAATTTAGTATATCAGCAGATCGCTGTATACTGCTGCCTAATGCTTGCTATAGAAAATATATAAAAGGTGATATCCAAAACTTGTACTTGGCAAAGAAGGCGTTAGTTGTTTACGAAGGTGATAGTGAAGCTACTTTTAATGTTTGATTCGAATATACAACACAATTTAAAGACGTGTTTTTGTTATTTTTCTCATGTCTACATAAAGTTTATACGAAAATGATGGGAATGAAATTCTTGTTAAAGCCTTTAAAAACGAGGTGATAGATATAATTACAACACATTTTACCTTACTCGAAGCAGTCGGCTTTTTAAATTATGCTTATAATCTTAAAATATTCTCAACTTGAACTATCACACGACTCTGAAATGTATGTTTCTTGTTAAATAACACATTATTCTACTTGAAGCAAAGGTGATCCTCGCCGAGGTTTCAAGGACTGAAGTATTATTTTCCTATAATTTATATTAAAATATTTAAATAGGAACCAAAGAAAAACAATTTGGAAAACAGATCATCTTTTTTTTTTGACACTGTTTTTTTCCATTATGGAAAACACAAAGGCACAGTGCGCCATACAGCCAGGAAGTCCATTACAAAATGCCTTCGATATTTATCTATTATTTTATTAATTTTCAAGATAATATTTTTTGAAAATAAGAAAACAATCACCTCAATATCATATATTTTCACACCAAATGCAAGAAGAGCGGAATTACAAAGTACTTTTGTATACAAGTAAAGTGGAGTGAATATAACGTGGTAATAAAGGGTATAAGAGTTACGTTTTGATTTGATTTTGATGTTATATTGTAGCCATCTAGCGGTTAATTGCTGGATTAAAACGAATTGGAGTTATTCATTTAGTTCTCCAAAAAGAAACGACCATTGCAGGGGTAGCTTTGCTTTCGTTTCTTGTAACTAAAAAAAATATTTCTATGAAAGACTTTCGGATTATATGAAATATCACCACGGGTAATATTTTTGGTGCGACTATCATTACTTATAACAATAACTTTGAGAGCAATACTCCGAATACCCGGAATCAGGACCAACTTAATAATGTTTGTTTCCTAAATTGGCCGATATCGGGAATCGAATTCGGAGACTATCAAACGCTCATAGTACTATCCGCTGTGTTGCCGAAGAGCACAAGGACACCTGTAAACTGAACCCGACCACGCGCCGCAGACCGAGCCCGACCCTACCATCATAGGTTTCCCCGCTACTACTGTACGGTACTGGACACGTTTAGCATACATATAGAATAAATAGTAGATTGTACAACAAGTGCATAAAACGCGTCAATCTACCCGAGACGTATTATGGATAGTTCCCCTCTAGGGTAAAATGGGTTTTATGAACGAGTTATACACTCTGCTTTTCACTTC